ATAATCCCTATATACTCGAGCATGAGGTTGATGGTCAAGTTAAAAACACGTTTTCTAAATTATATAGTGAATATGTAAGTATTCTTATTTTAGTTTGAGTTTACCTAATTTTTTAATTTAATCGTTAACTAAAATTCTTATCATGGATCTCGAATTACGGATAAAATATGTATAATCAACATGTATGACGGACCATCTCATAAAAGATCTTAAAAAAGGCCATTTACATACTATAAAGTTGTATTCATGGTACATTTACTAACTACTCGCTAGGGTTTTACTTTTTCAATCTCATCTACCTATTTCTTTTTAGGGGATATAATTTTGACAAGCAACTTACTTGATAAATCGATTACCTTCTCTAGTTTCTACGAATAGAACACTATATGAACTTCTCTTCAACAAACCTCCCTTTTATGATCATTTAAAGGTTTTTGGATGTTTGTGTTTTACTTTTACTCTTATTTATGATAGGAAAAGGTTTGAACCTAGATCTAGATAATATATATTCGTTAGTTATCCTAATGGTATGAAGGGCTACAAGCTTTATGATCCGATTGCTAATTCCGTGTTTATATATAAAGATGTTATTTTTCATGAATGTGTTTTTTCATTTTCTCTTAAATCCAAACTTTCTTCTCGATCCTCACCTATTCCTTCAACAAATGCAGCTTTTATCCCATATTATGATTCTCGGTGTACTTATTCGGATGTGCATGAAGTCGTTTTTGTATGATACAATACATCATTCTTCGGTACATCATATTGATCAACTTATTTCTTCGATGTTCCTAATTCATCTTCTAATTTACATGACTTTCTATCATCAAATGTACATTCATCTAATGTTACCGATAGGAAAAGTGATAAAGTTAGAAAGCCTTATTCATATTTGTCTTCCTATCATGTCAACCTAACCACTACGCCTAATCTTTCCAATCCGTCATTTTTTATTGCTTTTCCCATTCATCATTTTGTTTCCTTAGCTAAACTTTCTTCCTCACATATAACTTTCCCGTAAGCCTTATCTAATCTTGATGAACCACATAATTTTAATCAAGTCGTTAAAGTTGCTTATTGGAGAGATGCTATGAATGCCGAGCTTGATGCTCTTGATTTGAATAATATTTGAACGATTATATCACTTCCTTCTAAGCATCACAATATAGGTCGCAAGTGGGTGTATAAAGCTAAGCTTCTTACATATGGGTCAATTGACAAGTATAAAGCATGATTAGTGGCTAAGGGGTATAATCAACAAGTTAGCTATGATTTTAAGGAGACTTTTAGCCCGGTGGCTAAACAAACCATAATTCGTGTATTCCTTGCTTTGATGACTTCTCGGGGATAGATACTTTCATAGATGGATGTCAATAATCCATTTCTTAATGGTGATTTAGAGGAGACACTATGCATGGATATTCCTTTGGGATATCGAGTGCAAGGGAGTATACAAGACATGTTTGTCAACTTCGAAAATCTTTGTATGGCTTGAAGTAAGCATCAAGGCGAGTGGAATTCCAAAATTGCTCAAGCCTTGCTATCTTTTGGTTTTACATAATTGAAAGCAAACTCCTATCAGTTCATCAAAAAGATTTCCTCCGATATTTTTCTTACCTTGTTGGTTTATGTTGATGATATAGTCATAGTAGTCAATTTCATTAATGCTATTAAAAAGTTTAAACAATAGCATTCTTAGTTCAAGTCGAAGGATCTTGGATAGTTGAAGTATTTTTTAGGTGTTGAAGTTCCAAGGTCGGTAAAGGAATTGCTTTATGCCAAAGGAAGTATGTGCTTGATTTGTTAGTAGAATATGGTCTACTTAGTGTAAAACTAGCCTCTATACAGTTTATCCAAGTGGATAGCTTACACAAACCGATACCGACTTGCTTGATAATCATACCCAATATAGATAATTTTTTAGAAAGCTATTGTATCTTAACTTTACTAGACTAGATATATCTTTTACAAATCATGTACTATCCCAAGTATATGGATAAACCATGTCACTCCTATTTGCAGTATCGCTTTTAGAGTTCTCAAATACCCGAAGCAAGCACCTAGAAAAGGTTTGTTGTTTTCTTCCTTTTCTAATCACAAACTAACATATAGTGATAGTGATTGGACGAAGTTACGGGGACACTAGGAGATCGATGACTCGGTTATTTCATTTTTCTTGATGATTCCTTTGTTAGTTGAAAATCTAAGAAACAAACTATGGTCGTAAGAAGTTTAGTTAAGGTCGAATATAAGGCCATGGCCATCACATATCGTGAAGTTGTGTGTTTGTTAAGCTTGCTTGCAAAGTTAAGATTTAAGCATAAAGAGACAACTATACTTAAATGTGATAATGATTCTGCTATGTGCATTATTTAGAACCTTATGCTTAATGAGAGAACTAAGGATATTGAAATGGATTGTCATTTCATTAGAGAGAAAGTTGTTGCTGGAATTTTGAGACCAAAATATATCTCTTCCGATTACCAAATAGCGGACATGTTCACCAAGCCTCTTCAACCTTCTTAGTTTCAATTTCTTTACAAGCAAGATGAGCATGATTGACATACATGCTCCCTCGAGGGGAGTACCGGAAATAAACCAATAAGCTTCATCAAAAGTTTCACCGAGCAAGCTTTCATTAGACGGACTGATTTTGTTCTTCATTCCGCATTTAAGCATGAAGTGTCGAAGATGAGCTAACAACAAACTCTTCGAGTGAATGCCACATCACATGGCTTGGCCACATCGGAAAAATGATTAATTATGAGGTTAGTTAATTAGTTAAGAAGTTTGTTAGAGTTTGTTAAAAGTTAGTTTTAATAGCTTAAAGGGTGATAAACCCATGTTGCTCTTCGATTAAAATTAGTTGTATATATATATAGAGTTGTATAGGTTAAAATCGATAGAATGAGTTTTGTAATCTTTAAAATCATGTAATCAATTTTGATATGGAATAAAAGAAGTAGCTCGATTTTACCTTCTATCACCTTGTTCATATCTTCTTCATTTTAAAACTTGAACAAAAATAAGTTTTTCCTAATCTCTCGTGGCTTTGAGTGCTCGTTTAGGGTTCTATATGGTAGAAACGGTTTAGAAAACTACCTTAGTATTGAATGCTTTAGAAGTCCACAATTTGCCCACGAGACATCATGGACTAATGTTAGACTCGTGGGAATTAGACTATGAGATAATAACGTTCTCTTTCTTACCACCGTATGCAACCCCTTTGTTGTTCATTCGTTCTTTCAAATATGATGATGTTGCCATCCTTCCTTTTTGTTATAACCATATATAATGAAATAACTCGTATGCGCGAGTCTAAGACTCGAGTACGAGACAAGAATAACTTGCAAAAGAAACAAGGAAAAAAGTGTTCTCACAAGCAGAAATCTAGAGAACCCTAAATCTCCTGAGAGATACGAGAGAGATACCATAATTTTTACTAGTCGAAGCTCTTTATCATTAGCCTAATTAATTTCATGGGTCGGCATCATTTTTAACTACATGAGAAATTTTCAAATACTTTATATAACAATAGTTGCTCTATAAATCTACTTCCTATGAGAAATAGTTAAAAAAAAAAACAAAAAAATATTATATCTAAATCCACTAAAAATAATGAAATATTTCACCTTAACTCTTTTTTTTTATATATATATATAATTTTCTCTTTATTTTTAATGTCTATTTTTTCTTTTTGTAGAATAAGTATATAATTGCTCTTAAAATAATATAAAATTTCTCCAACTACGTTAGTCATGTGAATCCATCTTATTACTTAATCAATTCAAATTATCTCAATTCTCACCCCATCTAATAAGTTTGCCATTTCCAATGATAGATCCATTTTGCACGACACCCGGTTAGACTACGTAAGCCTAACATTGATATCATTAACTTCACATACTTAACCATTAATCTATTAGAAGTTTCTCAATTATATGGATCAAACTATGCATAGATTTTTCAAATTTATATGGGTCGAAACATTAGAAGTTTCTTAATAATGTGGATCAAAACCGTCATAATTTTTTCAATTATGTAGGTTGAAACCATCATAAGGTTTCCTAATTTTGTAGGTCGAAACCATTGGAAGTTTCTTAATTATGTAAGTTGAAACTTTCATAGATTTTCAAAATTTATGTGAGTCAAAATAATCATAAGTTTTTTAAATTTATATAGGTTAAAACTGTCGGAGGTTTTTCAATTATCCGGATCGAAATCATCACAAGTTTCCTAATTATATGGATCGATTTTTTCAAAAAATTTTCAATTATGTGAGTGGAAACCATCATAGATTTTTCAACTATATGAATCCAAACTTTACTTATAAAGCATAAGAGGTCACCCATGCATTCAAATTATCTTATTTCTCACCCCATCTAATAAATCTGTCATTTCTAAGGGTAGATCCATTTTGGACAATGCTTCATTAGACTACAAAAGCCTAATATTGATATCTATAACTTCACATAATCAATTATTAAAAAAATAATAACTATAACTATAACATCTTCTTCTTCTTCTTTTTTTAATTAATGACTTCCAAGAAGTGGCAATGCTTGCTCTTTTTTCATTTTTTTTCCTTTTTTATATCTAAACTCTCTTGTCTTACATTAAGTAATTCTTTTCTTCTTCTTTTTTTCTTTTCTAGAATAATTCTTTTCTTCTTTTGATTGTTCTCTTTCTTGCAAAGTAATCACATTATTATTATTATTATTATTATTATTCTGTACACACAAAGGTTTCTATCAATTAAAAAATAAATAAAGGAGAGAGCTGGAGAGATCGTACGGTTGAAATCATGCCGCGTGTACAAGAGGTCCAACAAACTCCACATCCCACTAACGAATCGGAACGGAAAGGAACGAACTGTAGCTGCAGAAACAGCAAGAGAACGAAAATTTGCTTCAAATTTCTTCTATCAAATCGTCAACCGCAACCGAAAATATTTTCTCAAACCCTAACCTAGTTATTCCCTCCGCATTCATATTATTTCAATGGAACCGCCAAATCAAAACGACGACGATGATTCTTTCTTCGACGCGCTCGACGATTTCCCCTTTCACGATTGCACAGTCACCGACCAATTCGCTAATTCAACGTCAACCTCCACTCTCTCCAAACCTACTTCATCTCCGGTCTCCATTCCCCGGCGCCGTTCAATTTCTCGCCGTGGAATCAAAGACTCCACTGCAGATTTCTCTTCGATCAGTTCAGATACCGTAATAATTGATGACACCGAAACGAGGAGTAGAGAGAGAAGGCTTAAAATTTATTGCGATTTGAAGGGAAATGAAAAGAATTTGGAGGGCGCTGAGTCAGCACGGTCGATTCCTTACCAAGTTGACTCATCAGCGGTGGGAGGTGTTGGGGAGGAGGCAAAGAAGGAGGAATCGACGGTGACGACAGCGAATGTCGACCGAGTTAGTGACTCGGTCGACTCAGCGGGTGAACTCGGCGAGTCGACAAATTTGCTTGTGTTTATAGCTGGGTTGGTGATTAAGGCAATTGGATTCCAAGTTAATTTATTTGTTTATTTTATCACATTTCCGTTGTGGGCTTTCTATTATTCTTATATGCTAGCTGTTGATCCATTTGGAGCTATAAGGCGGGGTAAAGGATTTATTGTTCGAAAGTTGGTTTCTTTGCGGAATCTGATTGGTGGGATTTTTGGTTCGTTTATAGATGATTGGTTAAAGGAACATAAAACAATATGGAAGCTTTTGATGCAGTTTGGGTGGGGTTTGTTTTGGTCATGTTATGTTTGTGTCATTTTGTGTGGATTATTGGTGTTCTCAGTTATGCTTAGTGGGTGGTTAATGAGATATTTTGTGGAAGAACCGATACAAATAAGGCAGGATTTGAATTTTGATTATACGAAGAACAGTCCGGTTGCATTTGTGCCTGTAAAATTTTGTGGTGGTGTTGCTTGTGGTGTAAATTGTAAGGAGAATATTGGAGATGTCAAGAGCTTAAAGACCCGGGTTATACCGCCTAATCACAAGCTGCAAGTTTCTGTTTTGTTGACACTGCCAGAGTCAGATTATAACAGAAATCTTGGGGTTTTTCAGGTACATTTCTTGGTTCATTAAGCAAGGAAGTTGCAATGTTTTGGATGTTATGTTATAGTTTCTAATCTGCTACTTGGTTAGTAACAATTTTGTTGTGTGAAACTGAACTGCATTATAATGCTTTAAGTTTTACCAGTTTTGTTTGAAATATGTTTTCTAACTGATACACTGCCATGTGAGAACTTGGGGGTTAATACTAAGCAAATTACTTTGGACTACTGCCTCATGTGTCAGGGAAGATTTGTTAGCTTTCTAGTTACGAAATATTCCTTTGATGAGGCAAAATGATGGTTTCTACATTGCTGTATTCTGTAAATTATTGAAAGGTTTTTTTATCAAGGCAATTAGGCATAAATCGTACAAGTTCTTATGTTGCTCTTGTTCAAGTTTACTAGGACTAGGCTGTCAAGGCATTTTGGTTGTCTCTTGAAAACCCTTTGCCAACAATATATGAAATTGAATGTGGCAGCAAGCTACCCTCCATTTTGGTAGAAGACCTGGGGATATTTATTTGCATCCATATCTTTCAGCAGCCTTTTTCCACTTTGGCATGACCTGTAACAAGTAGAGGTTATCTTGTGACAGAATCTTGAAATAACGAGGTTGAACCTGATAAGCATCACAGTGGTATTTAATTGAGTGAAAACTTGTACTGAGTTGAATGCATTCTGTTTATAGAAATGCTGTATAAATTATTCCAAATCATGGCATGTAATGTAAAAGGATGAAATACTTTATGATTTTTAGTGTTGGAAAAATTGACACAAAGAAGATTGAATTTTCCGTTGAAGTATTGTCTGATTGTTGTTTAGCTAGCAATATCTTGTATATATCCTCTCCTTGCCTGCCCAACGAAAAGAAAAAAAAAATCCCACCCCCACCCCCAAGGCAATAAAAAAAAAAACCCTGCCTTGTACTTCAGATTCTAATCATTAATGATTTTCTCTCAAAATGCTTTTCCTGACTTGCTTCATTGTTCACTTGCAGATCCGTGTGGACTTCCTCTCTGCTGATGGAAAAACCCTTGCCAGCAAAAGTCATCCATGCATTTTAAAATTCAAAAGCGAGCCTATCCGCATTTTATTGACTTTTCTTAAGATTGCACCACTTGTTGCTGGTTACATATCGGAATCCCAGACTTTGGCATTGAAGATAAAAGGTTTTACTGAAGGCTATGTACCTACTTCCTGCTTGAAGGTGATAATTGAACAACGAGCTGAATACAGGCCTGGAGCTGGTATCCCTGAAATATATGATGCGTCTGTCATACTTGAGTCCGAACTTCCACTTTTGAAAAGGATTATATGGTGTTGGAAGAAAACCATATTCATATGGATTAGCATAGTTTTATTTATGATGGAGTTGCTGTTCTCTCTAATATGTTGTAGACCTGTTATTATTCCAAGAGCAAGGCTGAGGGATGATTCTGCTATCAACAATAGTACTCCAAACAACGTCCCTGCAGAAAGTTGATACTGAAGTTTCTATGCACTTGATTGCGATGATAAGAGAAAAGTCAAACCTTCAACTGCAGTGCTAAAGTATTTGTAACATTTCACTCAACTTAGGTATGCCATCCTAACATAGTTCTCCATCAATTCATTAATTTTTTGATCATGTACATTCTATATCAATCAGCTATAGTTTGTGAATATTACACTTTGGGATGACTTACTGACCTTTAAATATCACTGGCTCTGGATTGTGAAATACAAAGCTTAATCAACAATCCAGTGTGGCTCAGTATAACAACTTACATGTATAAATGATTTGCAAATCAATAATGCTGTGTGAAAAGCTAAATGACGAAAAGAAGCACGAACTGTTTTTTTTTCCCCCTTAGAGCTTCGTAAAATGTTTCAAGAATTAAGTGAACAAGGAAATGTTTTGAGTTCCAAATTATTAATGCACCTGGGACAGCATTTCTCGATTGATTATAGAATTCGACTTCATGCACTCTGTCCAAAAATAAGTTGACAGGCATTACTCGAGATGGAACTTCAGTTTTCCTGGACATTCTGAGTAAATGGCCTATATAGAGTAGTGTAAGCACAGAGATCATGCTGTTTCCTTGGCGAATTTTGGTCTGGATGAAATATGGTTGCCAAGAGTTCATGTTCTTCGCAATTACACTTCTTGGGTCCAGACGCCAGAGCATGACATGCAGACTTTAGTTCCTGGTTTGAAAACCTTCTTTTAAACAGGCTTCTTAAAACGAAATATGATTAGTGCATGATTGTTTCATTACCAAACTTTGCAGCTGTGCTATGTTTTTGAAGTTTAGAGAACCCAGAACTGGTGTTTGAGAATTGCATTTGATTACTGCATGATTTTTTCAACACCAATTGGTTTGTAACTGATTTGTAAACAAAAATGTATGCATTTCAGCCAACATTTGTTATTCAGACTGCCTGTAGCGATTCCATTGCTTTGATCTATCTCTAATTATCCTTAATTGGAATTTAATCGTCAAATTTAAAAGATATTATCATAATGGAATGGAGAATTCTAACTACAGTATTCACGGAGCTGCTCGAATCATATCATATGAAATCCATGACCCAATAATGACATCTTTAAATCTCTACAGTTAGTTTGAACTTTGAACTCTTGGTGATTACTTCCGTAGGTAACGAATCCAAAAAAAACTCTATGGAGAACCAAAGTACACATGCTGGAAAATAGAAGGGATTGAACGATAAAGGCTAGCTATTCATGTAATCACGCAACGAGAGACGAGCAGTGCTTTCATATTATTACAAGGCAGTTGCCATGTGTCTGATTTGAGCCATTTGTTGACTTGACTGTCCATAGCAGGCGGCAACCCTCATCCCATTTTTTTTTTTTCATGCTTAAGGTATCGCACAACCAGTTTCTAAGTCAATTAAGATTTTTTTTTCCTTTGAAATAATTTTAAAAGTATATTTTTCAGATCAATATGTTACATTTAAAAAAATTAATAATTTTTTAATACTGATTTCAAAATTTAAATCTATATAAAAAAATAATAATAAATACTATTAACTACCAAGCCAACTCTTTGTACGGTTAACCTTCATTATCTAATGAACGAAAGATAACCTGTGTACAATCGGTAGGCCATAAAAATAGAAAATAGAAAAAAAATTGTATAGCCTGCGTACTGGCTCATCTGTTTGTAAAACAAGTAAAAGGTGGCCAAAAGAAAAAAAAATTATGAATAACGAGAACAATCAACATTTTCCAATGGCTGCATTAAGATAACCAATCATGAATCTTGTGATCTCACGAATGGGATGACGTGCTTCTTATCCATTTGCAAGTGATGTGGCAATTTTCTGCCATGCTCACATGTTATGAATAGCTATATATTCTTTTCCTTTTTTTTTTTTTTTTAACTTTCACATGCTGCTTATGACAAAAGAAAAATGATATCCTGTATGGATAAAACTATTTGATCTCAAGAGGATTACGTCAGGAAATGCTTTGGGAAGAGTACCTTTTTTTTTTTTTTTTTACTTTGAGTAATAGTTCCAGAAGTTATTTTCACAAATAATATTTAATAAAAATAATTTATTTGAAAAAAATATATATAGAGATATTGTAAGTTAGAAGCAATCATTCAGGGTCTGTTCCATATTATTACAGTTCTCTAGTTTTTTTTTTTAAAAAAAAAAAATCAAAATTTTCACTTGCCATACTATATTCTAACCCTTTTTTTTTTTTTTTTCAAGTCTCCAATTGTTAATCTTTCTACTGCTGTTCTTTACTTTTTTTTTCTTTCTAAAATTTTCTTTCAAATTTTTGAAAACAATAACAAAAAATAAAAAACAATAGCAATAACAAATACCAAATGACCTCTAAAATTAAAAAAAAATTAATTTCTATAAATGTAAAATTATAATTCAAAATTCAAAAGTTAATTTTCAATTGTGACTTTTTTATTTTTTGGAGTCAAATAAGAAATTCAAAGCGAAATCCAAATTCTCAAAAGAAATGGAAATTGGAATACGTCATTGCATCCTGGATTTCATGAATGGTGGCGGGAGGATTATCTCTCGTGACTAAATTTGGAGAAATACCCACAACGGTTTGTGATATGATGATGATCATCACACCACCATCATCATCATCATCATTAGTTTGGATGATTGGATACAAAAACATAACACGAAATTGATGAAACTTTTCCTTTCTCATTAAGCTTTAATTAGGAAAAAAAAAAAAAAAAACAGAATTCCCTTTATAGGTAACTAGGTGATAAATTACATGCCATCAGTCGCAAGCAGTAGCCATATCCATGAATCATATTTTACAACCTCAAGGACGTCCTTTGCCCTTCAGGAATGAAGCACTTTTGGTGATCTCGCGCAAGGGCTTATCTGTGTACCTGATCAAATTGTAAACCCATGCACCTGCCTGAGCCCCCAGGATGGGTGATACGATGTAAATCCATAAACCCTTGTATTGATGTGACACAATTGCAGGCCCCAAACTTCTTGCAGGATTCATTGACGCCCCTGAAATTGGCCTATAAAACAGCACCAGCACAACAAAAAAAAAACAAGGACAACCCCTTTTTAGTCAACCCACAAATGAGAAATTTGTATGTAATAATAAAAACGATAAGAATATGCTTCAAATGAGTATGTTAGTGGTCAGGACAAGTCCCATTATTAATTAATTAGCTTAATTATGTCATCTCTTTCGTCACCATGAGATGATTTAAACAACATTGGACAATAAATTCTGTGAAGCATTATTCTAAATAGAGGTAATTGGATTAGACTAATACCCTGCAAACATCACATTAAGGAGCACGGTTGAACCAACTGCAAGTCCAGCAAGTTCACCAATCTGCATAAACAACAAGTCAAATATGAGAAAGAGACTTAAAGATTAAATTCCAAATCACTATCAACACAAAGAAAATCGCATAATTTAAATGCCTGGAGCTTAATTAATTATATAATAGAATACCAGATGTCAATAAAGTAGGCTACTTAATTAGCCAACCCTATTTTCTCAACCATAATTAATTATAGGATTAGGAACCTACAGCTCTGTTATCGGTGGCGACACCGGATATGATAAACATGAGGTAGAATGTGATTATAAACTCAACAGCAAAGGACTGAAGATCGGATCCTGCCGGCATTGTTCCCGTGAAGTGGTCTTGCTTGCCCTGAAAAATTAATCGGATTGTTCCGGCTGCTAGAGTTGCTCCAATGACTTGACATGCTATGTAAGCCGGTACCTTTAGAAAAAACAAAATAAACTACATCAATCATCCATCTGAACACTCAGTTCAACACCTTGGAGAATTGGGTGATGGAACTTCTTTTCATTTATTTTTTATTTAGAGAAGTGTTAATGATTTATTAAATTAAATTAGCAATCGTTTGTTTGTAATCAACAATTCAACAACCCAATTATCTGTTTTTGGCAAAACTTGGATATGGAGACAAATAGTACCTTTTGGTGCACTTCAAGTGTTTTTTTTTTTCCTTTTTAACGGGAAAAAAGGAAACGAAAGAGAGCCATTGTTAATGTAAAAAAAAAATCTAACACATCAAGGTTTATTATGTGTAGCGTACCTAATTTCAACAGGGTAGATATAAAGGTCTCACCTGTTTCCATGGAAATCTCTTGCAAGTGGCAAAGGCAAGGGTGACAGCAGGGTTGAAATGGGCACCAGAGATATGACCAACAGAGTAAACCATGACCATCACAGCAAATCCCCAAGTTATTGATATCCCTGGATGTGTCACGACCTTGTCAAAGTTCAAATTCACAGCCACCGATGAGCAGCCGGCAAATATCAAGAAGTATGTTCCGGCTATCTCAGCTACCAACTGCAGCACATGACAAGTCGTGAACATCAACGTCAAATTAAAAAAAAAAAATATCAGTTATCTGATAAAATTCCGAGTTATGATGATGATGATCTCTCCAGACATAAATGTATATCACAAGAACATGTTGATTCCTGATTCTTGATGTAGGCCAAATAGGAAATTAATTAAGACGCAATTAGATTGTGCATGTGCAATTGGTAGGTAATCTTGAAAATCAGATCATAATAGGAAATGGGTATCGGAGAGAAAAAAACATTTTGGTTCAGGGCCTGACTGTATGAAAAGGAGAAAACATAGAAATTAAGAAGACATGAGATGTTACAAGAAAACTTCACCTTTTGCATGAAAGGCACAGAGAAGCTCAAGACAGAATCTTCCCTGGTGAAGTTAGATGGAGTATCATTATCTTTAACATCCAAAACAACTCCTCCATGGTGGCCATTGCCATTAGTCCCATTGATCTCAGCCATAACTACGAATACTTGCCACTAAAAAGACAACTAAGAATGAAAAGGGAGCAAAGATAAGAACAAGCAAAGAAGGTAGAAGAGGAGACAAAGATGAGCAAATAAATTTTGTCTTTGCGGCAGCTTTGTTCTTCACCTATGGAGTCTCTATGCAAGAACAAGCAACGATTGAAGAAACGCTCAAGTTATGGAGGCTTATAAAGATCCAAAAAAGGGAGGGAGAGAGAAGTCTTTACAATATATATATTATCTTTTTTTTTTTTTTGAGCAAAAAAAAAAAAAAAAGGGAAAAGATCGACTATGGTAAGTCTATTATCATGGGACTTTGGTTCTTTATGTTCCACTTATAGGATTACTACACTTCAGATGACTATTTTTATGACAAGTGTATCTGTCTTCTTTCTGGATGTGTATTTGGCGTTGAAAAACGTGACAATCACATTTGGGATTGCGGACAGGGACGCATTGAAAGCTGATTCAACCACCCACCGGAAATACAGAAAAGCATGAATGCCCATAAACTAGACAATTAAAGTCTCTCTGTATTGACTAGTATTACCCAACTCCAATTAATTTGTGCTCATTCAACTTTTAACCGTTGATGACGGCATGACATTGTGTGGAGGGGCTATTTGTAGAGACCAGTATACATATGATCTATTGCCACCCTAGTCCACTACCATGACCAGTAACAATAAGACTCGGTCTTTAGCATAGAAGGCCTAAAACTTTGATAACCATCGATCATACCGCACTTTTGTTTTAAGAGATTTCAGTTTTTGTTTAGTTAGCCCAATTCGTAACCAATGCTCTCTTTGATTACAAGCAAACGCTATTTGACTTGACAGACTTTTACCGAGTTGGTTGTGAATAACTTGTGTAAGAATATTTCATCATGTCCTAGTTTCATGGGATTTCTCCAGGATTTCCTGGAAAATGGAAACCAGCATTTCATGTATGTAAGAGAAAATTGCCTATTCATAACAGACTATCATACGACTCACGTTATCATGTCATTTCTGCATAATCAATGATCATCAGTCATTTGCCATTTTTAGGTACTTATATCCTGATATGAGTTGCAAGGAGCATTTGCAAATCTAAACGTACGTGTCTGTTTAGGATAATTAGGCAAATTATTCTCTCATTATCTAGAATGAAACAAATCCTGAAAAATTGGTTAGTAAAAGATATTTTATATCATCCTCAAAGTAATGCTAATTTGGGATAATATTTTCTAAAAACTATCAACTCGCAAAATGTCGCTAATATTATCACTTAACCACTTCATGGTTCCACCACCATAACTATAGCAGCAATTATCATCTCACCACAATTATGCCATCACTCAATTACCAATAAAACCGTATTTCAAATATTGTTTTATTATTTTTACCAACATCACTCCACTCACCATCACCTCTACTGCAATACTATCATTATAATTAAAACCACCACCACCTTTAGAATCACTATCATCACAACACAACCACCATTAAGCAACATTTTAAGGCCATCTGACATAATGTTTACAATCAAAATAAATCTCTGATAATTAATTATTAAAAATTGCATTTAATTGCAAGAATTATAGTGACAAGAACTAAATTTGACACTTACATAAATAACAAGGACCGAAACATTTGAAGACAAGACAAATTGTATTAATGTTGTTAGTAAGTTGGGGCAACTGTGGTACCATAAGGAATCTTGCGGGTTGGTTTACTTTGTTTTTATTTTTTCTTCCTTCTTTTATTGTCCATTATTATTTATAAAAATATTATTATTATAAAATTAATGATTTTAAATAGTCTAACAAGCTTATTTGGTCATTAAATCTTTTTTTTTTTTATAATTTCAATTTTATTAAGAAATCAACAAGGATACATCAACTTGGACAACTTTCCATAGATATTGTGGGTGATCCTCAACATAGATTTGTTCAAAAGATTTAAATTTGGTAAAATTAGCTAATATATGGGTAGCCTTGTTGTGTGTATAGCTACTATGAGTGACAATATAAGAATGAATCGATTAGATAGATATTTAATGTATAAGGAAATAGATGATAAGTAACTACTATTCTTAGCATTTGATTAGAGTTGAGAGATAAAGCTGGAGTAGTCTAATTCTAAAGAGACAACAAAAAACCCCATATCTATAGCAACTTGAAGTCCATAAAGTGCACTCAATGCTTCACCCATATTGATAAGGAATTATACCTTTAGTCCTTTATGGGTTAAGAACATAATCTCTTAGAGAGAATTCCTTCCAATTACTCCAAGTCACTGGTTTTATTGCTAATGGAAGCATCAATATTGATCTTGGTTATATCACGAGTATGGAAGGACCCAACTTGAGATCTTTTGATTCCAAGATTGAGAAATAGAAGTGTAAGTATTTTCTAGCATAATAGATACCCCAAGCCATCATGATAGTGGATTCAATTGCAAAGTCTTTCATTTGTAATAAGGAATCATATAACCATTTCCAAAAAGAAGGTGAGAGGGATATAAAACCAGGTTTAGTATTACAACTTAAATTCCAAAGCTTTTAGGAAAATGGACATCTATATAAGATGTGATTAATATCCTATGAATGGTATCCACATCACCTATAAGGCTAGTTTAAATTCATCACATGATTCCTTTGCTTAGCCAAATTGGTTCTTGAGGGAAGGATGTTTTTCATTGCTCTCTAATAAAAACATATGGCTTTTAGGGTAATTTTTAGGCGCCATAACTGCTTCCACAAGTATTTCGCATGTCGGTTAGGCCACTAATATCCGCCATCTTGTTTCGAGTAGGTCTAAAGTTACAAAATAAGCACTTCCTACTTATGAAGTTATCGTTTTTTGTGTGGTGCCATACTAGTTTGTCTTCAGTAAGCGAAGACTTAAAAGAATTTGAAGAATTTATGTTGCTTCAAATGGCATAAAGATGTGATGGATAAGAGCAATCTTTCATGTGTTGGTCTACATGTCAATAAGCATGACAATAGTTGCATATTTATTTAGAAATTATGGTAGAGACCAAGGTATATGGCCAACTTAGAGTGGTAATCCTTCTAAATTTGAATTGTTCTATAATTCCTACCTTTCTACCTTATACATGTATTAACAATCAGTTTTCCATGCAATATACTTTCTTTGGGAGTAGCTAAAGGAACCTTTCTTACTAGGCATGTTGAATGTAGATGACAAGAAATATTTTACCTTCAAAAGGTTAAAAAGCAATGAAGAATAATGATAGTGAACATTATTGATTATATTTATTCTCTTATATTTAGTATTTTGATGGTGATTTTAAGTTATATGCGTTAAATCAAGTTTGTTTTTTGATTTAGGAGATGATTGGAGGCAAAGGCCTAAAAGTAGCTAACTAAGACGAAATTCCATTGTTGACGGAATGGCTTTCGGAAGAAAATATAAGAATTTAACTTTATTAGAGATCAAAATGTAAAAAAGGCCTTGTTGAGGTCTAAATTAGACATCTTAAGCTTTTTAGATTAGGTTTGAATGCATAAATCTATTTTTTTTGGACTATCAAAGTCGGTTGCAAAGTCGGATTAAGAATTTAGATCTTATGATAGTCTAAAACACTTTTTAGTGTTTAAACCATATCCATAGTTATACATATTAGATTAAGATTCTTTAAAATCCCAAAAAAAGAAAAGAAAAAAGAATACATCTAGGCCTAAAACTTTCATGAAGATACTAAGACCAAATTAAATCGCTATCCGATCCAAAATCAAGTAAGAAGTTAAAGCATAGAATCTAGAATCTTATTCAACTACAATTCCTAATTAATTTCGGACACAACCCTAAATAGGACTTTTGGGCTGGCATATCGGTCTAAATATATGTACAAATAGCCTCTAGGTCCGCACATTCGAACACTTTCAACTTTATAAGAGAACTCATTTTATTTATGTGTTTTTACTTTTAAAATACAATACTAATTATATTTTTTTCGGTTCAAGAGAAACATGACTTCAAAGAACAAGGTGTGAGATCTTTTCTATGTAATTTTATAATCTATTCATCTTTACTATCTCTTATTCTTTTAAATGAATTAAATTATATTCTTATCTTAGAATACTTGCTAGGTAATTATGATCAACGAATAATTGCTAGATTAGGATTTATAATACATAATCATTATAAAATCTATTTATGAGTAGTAATAGGGTTTAGTGATTTCTAATATTGATGTCATTATAGTTTTAGGAGAAAAACATACGAGGTTAAACTAACCATCTTTGGTATTGATTATGTATTTTGGTTATTTTTTAAACTCGTTAATGTTTTGTTGAATTACATGTAGAGATCTTGTCTTATATAATTTAGTAATTAGGATTCAAATTATGTGCTTTATTTGTTTGATGATTAAGTAAGAAGAATAGAGTTAATCTATGCTTCATGGTTAATATAGATCAAATGATAAATCATGAATAGAGTCTTTAAGTATCATCAATGATCGACTTGTAATTTAAAGGTAAAATTTAGTCTTAGACCAAATGCTTTTTATTTGATTAATTTCTCAAGATTTCATTATTTTTTTCTTAATTATTATGAACTTAAACTATACAACTGCCATTTTTTATTTTTATTTAATTTTTTAAATTAAGCATAAATAGAAACAGAATAGCAACCGAATTAGTCTATGGTGGATCGATTTAGACTTTCCACTAGCTAGTGTAGTGAGATTTAGTTAATTAATTTTGTGATATTATGGCACACTACCAAATGGTCATTCAAAAGTCATCCCAAACATGTTTAGCTGGCATAACAAGATTAAAGAAGTGAAAATCTTTGAACCCCAACCCTTATTACTTGCTTTAAAGTGCACACCATGTTCATTTTAGCCAATGGATTATTCTTTCCTCTAATGATAGACCCCACTAGAAGTTTGATATGATTAAGTCCAGTTCTTCACACAAGCCTTCTAAAAGGAGGAAGCAACTCATAATATATGTAGGAATTGCTTGAGTCACTATCTTTA